ATCAAAAAATGTTAGTTGAAAATAAGAGTCACTAACTGTCTTTCATCTGAATATCATAAAAAGAGTCTCTCTTCTTATCCTGTCTATTCTTAGCTTTCTCACGGGAATCTTATAAAGATTTTTGAGCATACCCTAGATTCAAAGTGTTCCACCGTTAGGGGTAAGGACTAAAATCTTTTAACTAGTCTCTATTGTCTTATATAAACCCCTGATACGCCACAAACTACATCACAAATATGCGAGACGATATAAGATCATAAACATATCATTTGAAAGAAAGCCATAGACTCTGTATATCAGTAACATCTCGTTCTTATCTATGAGCTGTTTCCTTATTGCATACATAAAGGATTCAGTAAGATGCTAGTGAAAAAATATGTTTAGAATAAATTGAATAAACCAATCTTAGGGGTCGCAGCGACGGGATTACCAAAAAGAAAGATTTGGAGAAGGAATTTTTTCAAAAGAAAAATAGAAGAAAATTCGAAAAAAAGGAAGAAAAGAAGGACTTTTCACAAGTTCTACGCTGCAACGGTAGAATTATATTAGAAGATCAATTGTGAACAATAGGAATGAGCTCAGACGAAAATGAATTTCAAACATGAACAGTTGTCTCCTCGGCATATGATATGTTTATGTAACTGTTGTTCCCATATCTCAATGACTCTCTCGGTAGTTCTACAGGTAACACACGTGCCTCACCCACATGGATAGCTACGCCCTACATCGATTACGAAAATTTGTGTGTTATCAAAAATATTCCTTGATAGGATATCAAAGGTGTGTAATCATTAGAAAATTATCAACTTTTTTCGTGGATCGATAGATGGACTGGACTTTTGAGGATAAAGTACTAGTACGCTTGAAAATCCGACAGAGCAGTCAGAAAAATCTTCTAGAGTTTCTTTGACTAAGCTTGCAGAACCAAATCGAAGCATCCGTAGACAGTACAGGATCAAAATCCTTGATTTTGCAAAAGTGAAAATAAATATGCTAGGATTTTAGAGCATTGTCGGCTTCGCAATGTCACGTGTTTTTTTAAACTAACAAAATGAATTTGAAATGCTCTACTGATGTATCAAGTTCCGTCCTAAAGGATCATCTGACGTCAAACCTAACAGATATTCGTATTCTTTTTGCGAAAATAGTTACATGACATTACCGAGTCGAGAGTGCTGTACAATCCTAACATACTTATTTAAACTTTTGAAAATTGAGGATTTTAATATTGCGAATCCTTACGGGTTTTCCCATTTAGTTTCGAAAACTGTTGAAGAAGCTCTAGAAAATATTTCTGATTCCGCTATCCGGCTTCAGTCATGCTAGAAATTTACCCCAAACGTTCTAGCCCATTTATCAACTCGCGAAAACAAGTGCTTATTTTGTAGCGCATGATTCTCAGTCTATCTTCGAAAAAATTTGCAACGCAATGCAAATTGGCCACTTCTATCTGTCACTTTTTCAAATAGTGAGACATAGTTACCTTAAACACACAATTCTCGCCTAGACGTGAAGAATTTAAGGGAATTCGAAGTTAAGTTAGCTGGTTGACTAAATTTTGACGATGAAAGCTGAATTCAACCTGTAAACGTTTTCCAGCTTGTAGAAAGATATTTTTCCTCATCCGGTATTTCTGCTACATCTCACTCAGATCGAGATGCTTTACTACTTCCTCAATCCAGATACGCTTTTTTCGAGCTTCTTATTTTAAACAGCGTTTCAAGATGGTTTTTATGTTCTCCAACAATTTGAGTTACCTGGACAAATTTCGAAATTTCTTGATCTATGTGCATATGCACGGTTCGAAATACTTTTCAAGTTCTTTGATCAGTGTAAACATTAATTATAACTCATCAGGTTTTTGACCAGAATAGTGAAAAAATGTTCTGGAAGCCCTATCTTGATCGCAAACTCGAAAAGCATAAAAAGAATTATGGTTCAAATGAAAAGATCTTGTATCATGCCTGGAATTGATTGACCAATTTGAGTTGCGTGGAAGATTGACAACTGATTGTAAGCTGAATTGGAAATCATTTACACGTATGACCCCATTGTCATCCACAAGTACCACCTTACTTACTACCAAATGTCGTCTGCCTTTCTCGTTTCGTTTATCAACAACGATACCAACAAAAACTGTGTTTCTTACATTTTGCTGAGTAAAAGTCTTGGTCAAACATCGATACATCATGAATGGCTAATAACATAAGTATCTGTAAGACTGGCTATAATGTAGCTCAGCTTCGATTATGCTTGGTCACTGAGTATATTCTTGCAATTTTGCGCAGTGACCGAGTTCTAGCGAAGAGTCATTTTAGATATCTCAAGTCCTGTACATATGTGCCGCATTAATTGAGATCTTATATGCATACCTTAACATAATTGTGGCGAGCTTTTTATTGGACTTGTGCTAGATTAAACATTTTCTGGAGCTCTGAGAGCTCTCTATCTAAGCATTCCCCCATATGTTTTACGAAGTTTCTTAGAGTCAATTCGTATGAAAAGTAAAAAAAAAGAAGAAAAAAAAAAGGACCTTCAAAGAAAGAAAGGACGAAGAAGGAATGTCTGAAAAAAGAAGGAAAGAAAGACTGCTGCGGGGTCTGCAATCTCCTTAATAGATTCAGTGTTAAATTCCCACATGTAAAAACAGTACTAATGTCCGTTTCAAAATATAATGCGTCCCACTGTTTTTTGAGTAACTCAAGAACGCAATCAGCTAGAGATCTGCGGTTTTCACCAATCGAAAGAAGAGACAGGGGGGCGTCTTTTTCTTCAATATTGTATCAGACAAAATCATTTTAGAATCAGTCATTTCTGCATAACATCGAAAAAATGGTCTGTCATTCAGATGAAATTTTGACAAAAAGTAAAAAAATTTGCTTCAAAATTAAAAGAAATTCATAGTTTTCTTGGGAGTAAATAGACGATTTTATTTGCTAAACATTAGGATGCGGTAAGATAATCATTCGAATTATATCCTGAAGTATAGATCCGAAGTCCCTCTATCTAGATCACATGTCAAAAGGAAAATTTCTTCAGAATGCCGGGTCGTTTTCATGCATTTTTTGCAATGTTTCGCAGAAATGACTGATTCTAAAATGATTTTGTCTGATACAGTATTGGAGAAAAAGACGTCCCCCTGTCTCTTCTTTCGATTGGTGAAAACCGCAGATATCTAGCTAATTGCGTTCTTGAGTTACTCAAAAAACCGTGGGACGCATTATATTTTGAAACGGACATTACAATAATTATTAATGGAACAATTTTTACCATATTTTTTTTATGAATTAACTGTCAATAGATATTTCGACGCGTCAAAAATTATTTTAATTGAAATGTGTCATAGTAGATGGAAATCGCACACATTGGTATTCATGCTTGATTGAACGAACTGTCCTTTTTCTTCTGTATAAAAAAAAAATTAATTTTTTTTTTGATATTTCTTTATCTAGTGTTGATGCAACAGTCTTACGTATTGATGATATATATCAACGTGAAAGTCAAAATCGTGCTGTTCTTCAAAATCTTGATTGGCGTTTACAACGTTTAGAAGATCTTAATATGAATACATATGAAATGATTCAAAAAATGTTTTCGAATCAATCATTCGATGAACGAGATCCATCATACGTATTTCGTCGTCGAACATCTTGGTTCGATGATGATATACATGATCGACGGCGACAACAACGACAACGACGTTCATCATTAACAGGTTATGAATTGAATTCTTTTAGAGATAAAAATATCTCTAAATCAACAACAATAATAATGAATCGAACACCAATATCAAAACATGGTTTATCAATACATGATCAAATTCCATTATCAAAAAAACCACATCAAGTTCAAAGACGATCAACAATTCATCGTTTAGATTCATTAACAAGTAATGATTTTAATATTAATCGAATACAATCAAATGAATATACTTCAATAACTGATGGTAAAAGATTTTATTTCTTTTTTGTTATTTAACGAAATTGATTTTCTTTTGCCTTTTTTTTCTTTCTAGTTATTGATACAACTCATCATCATGAATGGCGACCATCAAGTCCAATAACTATCCGTCCTTCGACAATTGATAATAATGCCATGGTATTATTTGAATCAACAAAAGAAGAAACAGCTGCATATGATGCTGAAGAACAAACACATAATTTAATTGGTGAAATAATACGAAAACGTGTTCGACATTCATCAATAAATCAACCATATAATTCAATAGAACCTTATTGCGATAGTGATCGAGCATCACTTCTTTCAATTGATCTTAATACTAGTACATCTAATCTCAATCTTGAAATGCCTGATGCAAAAAACTAGTCCATAAAAAACAAATATGTATATATATTTTTTTTTCCGTGTAGACAACTCTCCGGTATTGAGTGATGTCAGATTTCATATTTTAAAATAAAATTCAACACAATTTTTTGTTTAGCTTTGTTTTTTGACTCATTCATATTTGTTTTTGTTTCTTTTTTCCCTATGACACCATTTGTAGAATACTTCTAATATATTGATTGATTTGATTTCTGTACTCATTTTATCAATATGTTGCAACTGTCGTCTATGAAAAAATCGACCATATTATTTTCCATACGTATTTATTGATTGTATCGTACTTCTGTTTTCACTATTCGTAAATATATAGATCAGTTGTTCTCTCTAAATTCGGTTTATTGATACTGAAAAAGCTGATTGATACTATCTGTTAATACTTACTAACCACACCTTCCTTGATATACTATAGAAATGAATGCACCGTATGCAATTTATAAAATGTAAAAGTGTCTTTTTTAGTTTCGAAAACGTTAAGACTTTGTTGTTTCTATAGGGAATTCTTTTCTTTTTTAAATTTCATAAGGTACTTTTTCTTCAATTGGACTGCACTTCGTTTTTCTCTCTTTTAATTGTTCTTTTGTTCGATCGTTATCTTTTTCATTACTCTTCTCGTTACACAAGTGAACAACATCCATCAATTATTTTTTTTACTAACAATGCCTTTAACACATCCGAATATAACAATTATTCTTGCTTATATTGTTATTGGATTAGCTTTAAGTGCAATTATATTTATTGTACTTTCAATAAGTACTACTCATTGGATACATACAATACATATGCGAGCTGGATTTTGGAAACTGTGTCATTTACAACCATTGGCATGTTTTCATTCTGTTTTACGTTCGCCAGCTGCTTTATCATTAACTGGACTGTTTTTAATTGTTATCGGTTTGATATCAACTTTCATATTCAATATTATTGATTATCATGTGGCATCATCTGTTCGATTTATTTCATTATTATCTGTTTTTTCATTAGGATTGGGTACTTTTTTTTTCGTGATGAGTTATGTGGTATTTTCTCGCATAGTTGCACATTTGTGTTACTCATATTATCTAATGATCGTTGGGCAATTGTTGTCAATGAGTGCAGCGATTGTAGCTAGTTATTTAGAGGGACGACGAAATGCATTAGTATCTACATCGGCCATTATAAGTCGATTGGTTGTGCGCAGACCTTGAAACACGGTTGTTTCTCTTTCATTTTCACCTACATTTTTCTTTCTTTCCTCTATTCTTACTTACTCGACTTTTTTTTTTCTTTTCGGTTTCTAAGATACCAACCAATGAGCAGCGTACAGTGAAGCACAACGCGTGAATATAGCTTTTACAGCTTTAGTACGTAGCTATTCATTTTGTGTAGGGAGTATATGACACAGCATAGATCAAATGTCGCTTGTGTCATTTTGTCGTTGTACTTTTTAAATAAGATATAAAGTATGAATTTGATCATGTGAAATATATTCTGTAATAATATCAATTTAAATAGATGAAATATTTGATCCTGATCAATATCTAGTATTCAATAGGTTAAAAAAAATAACATTTAACTTTTTCTTTCTTTTTTTTGTTATCATCTAATATGTATGTGTGTACCATATGTAGATCTACATGATTAAAGTATATATTTTTTTTTTTGTAGTTAATGTAAAAAAAATATTTTGAAAAATTAAGAATACAGTAGTATTATATCATATATTTGTATTATAAAAAGAATATTTTCTTTTATTAAAGATAAATATTAGTTTTATGTCCAGTTCCCGTTCTTCTCTAAATAACCAAGAATCTGACAATAAAGATTTGTCTATTGATATGTCAACAAAATTATTAAATAAAATATCTGGTCTATCATCATCAACTATTTTATTAAGTGATTCACCATCATCATTAAAAGAATCTGGACAAACAGCAGTTAATAAACGTGTTGTTAAATCATGTTTTTTCTCCACAGTTATATTTTCAATAAATTTTATTTCATCAATTCTTGTTATTAATTTAGCGAAATGGTAAATTTTATTATTTAATTAATTTTTAAACAAAAAGAATAAAAAAAGAATTTTTTTTTTGTTTTCTTTAATAGGATTTATGTTAAACATCATTTTCCTAATTTAACATTAACAACATTAAATTTTTTTGTAACTTTTTTTCTTTTGATTGCTTGTATGCAAGCAAAAGTATTTACTTATGCTAAATTACCAATTTTTAATATGATTCCTGTATCCGCCTGTTTTGGTGGCTTTATCGCATTCAGTAATCTTTCACTTCAATATAATACTGTTGGTACATATCAACTTATTAAATTGCAAGTAACACCAAGTAAGTATAATTATATTCTATAGTGAAAAATATGTATATTGGTGGATTGTTAAGTCAATGTTAGATATAAAAAGCAACTATTATCATAAGGACGAATAAAAAAAATATATATATAGTATGTTAACGATACGTGTCAATATGTATTAGTTACTAAAAAAAATAATGTTAATGAAAAAATATAGAAGATTTATTCGAAATCAAATACTCGAAATAAATTTTTGTAAATATCATAGTATATTGTGACCTGTATATATATTGCTTTCGAAGCGATCGAAAATGAAAATGTTGTAAGCGAAAACAAAAGAAGAAATTTTTCTCGAGTCTCTTGAAAGTTTAAAAAATGTGTTAATGTAAATTTTCGGGAATTGAATCGTTATAAAAATTGGTAGTACCTGCATGACCTTTCAACTTGAATTGCAGATCGATTATTGAAATTATATACAGTTAATATTCTTTGTCTGAATAAATTATAGACTTATTTTCATTTTCAATTATATTGATGATATGAGTCGGTCTACAAGAGTTCAAATGTTATTGAATATCCAAATGCTTAATATCAATGCGAAAATAAATAAAAATAAAATATAAAGTTTTAGCGAATTAGATCATTAGAAGTGACGTGAAATCTATAGGGACGTACCTAGATCTCCACAGCAGGAGGGAGGCGTAACCTTCCAAGAGCTTAAAGTCTCGAAAGCAGAGAGGGGGGGGGGGGGGGGGGGGGGGGGGGTGGGGTAAGGTATCCATTCATATCAATTCAACAGCTATAGCCCCTAAAAAAAGAGCTTTTTTCAGAAGCAGAGGGCGTAACGCCCCACTCACCCCTTCCTAGCTACGCCCCTGAAAACCTAAGGGTTTTCTAGTTTTTTAGGATTCATTGAGGAATAGCTCATCAGAAAATTGAGTAGAGCAAAATTTGTCATAGAACCAAAAGTCTTGAATATCTTTCTGTAGAAGATATTGAAGTCGTATTTTCAGCGAATATGCTTTATGTTTTTATATTTTTTTGTCTTTTACAGTTGTCTATTAATATGTAAAATATATCCAATAGATAGAAAACATCTCGAAATAGGTATAGAGCAGGAAAAAAAATCTAAAAATGAAGAGCCTGAAAACTTTGAGCCGGTAAATAAAGACTTTTAAATTGAATAGTTGAAATTCGAACTTTATGACTTTACTTTTGAATAAATGTATGCTTGAAATTTATGTTATTCTCATTTCTGTGTACTGAATAAAATAATTCTCTTTATATTATTGAAAACATTCCATTGGATTAGTTCATATATATAGAAGACTTATAAACAGTTTAATTCAATATTAAAGTTAGGCAACAATTTGAGATCTCAGTTTTTTAACATATATTACTAGATATGTCAATAAAGATGCAGAAGGAATTTTGATCGGACAACTCATACCATGCGTAATTAAATACTTGATTTTGAAAAACTACTCACTAAAGTTTTGTTTTATGTTGAAATTAAACCTGTGATAGAATATGACATTATTTTTAATAGTAAAATTTCTATGTCTATTTTAGCTGTGATGGTGATTAGTTGGTTATTTTTTAAAGCACACTATCCATTACCAATTGTAATTTCATTCATTCCGGTTTTTGTTGGAACATTAATTAGTACTTATTATGATTTACAATTGAATGTATTTGGTCTTTTTTGTAAATATTAAATTTTTTGTTTTTATTTTTAATCTATATTTTATTTATTTTAGGTGCTGTTACATCTGTAGTATTTACTGCTATGTATCAAATACTTGTTGAGTATTATCAAAAAGCATACAATTGTGATTCATTACAGTTATTATTTTATCAAGCTCCACTTTCTGGTCTATTACTATTATTTTTTGTACCATTTTTTGAACCAATATCGGATTTAGATAAATTTATGACAACTGATATTATTTTTTTAATATTACTTTGTGGTGTTGTTGCATTTTTTGTTAATTTTAGTATTTTTTGGGTTATTGGAAATTTATCAGCTGTTGCATATAATATGATTGGACATTCGAAAACATTATTAATTATATTTATTGGTTCATTTATATTTCATGAACCACTTAATCAAAGGCAAATATTTGGTTTATGTTTTACAATGCTTGGAGTTTTTCTTTATACATATTTTAAATATATTAGAAAAGCAGATAAATAAAATACATTCGGAATTTACATTATATTTGTTTCTAGTATCTCATTAAGAAAATTAATCATTGATTTCATCGGTATTGCTTACAACATTTATTTTTTAAAACATTTAAGTTTTATTCAAGTATTTGTGATAATATGTGTATATGTTGAGTGCTCAAAGTTAAATTTACTCTGTTGTCTTTGTTTTTCTGTTCATTCCAAAAAAAAAACATTTTTTGTTTCAGTTATTATTTAATTAATTAAGTGCACAAAAATAAAAAATAAAAAAATGACATTGCTTATTGAATATTTTTAGATGACAACATCATCCTCTTATGCAATTGGTGTTGATGTTGGAACAGGAAGTGTTCGTTGTATGATATTTGATGATAAATGGACGCCGGTTGTTCAATGTCAAAAACCGATTCGTGTGAGATATTGAAAAATGTTTGTTAGATAAGATATGGTTTTCTATGAATTAAATATTTCCTAAATTTACAAGTGAAATTGTAAAATAATCTTGTAAAAATTTAAAGAATGTCATATTGATAGTTCTTAACAAATTCAATAGTGTAGAAATCGTTAACTCATTACGACTGTTTTACTTTATAGCTCGACTCTTAAGATTTTGAATTATTTCGCGACACCCACATCTGATGCTACAAGGCTAAAAAAAAAGCCAATTCAAAATCCTTAAATTCCTGATCCATATTTTTGTCTAGGCAAAGCATCCGCATCTCAATCATTCATGCTGCAAAAAGAGACTCTCGAGCGTTATATATAGGCTTTCTATGGATTCTCGGAACATTTCTAAGTACACTATAGAAAGTTTCCACCAGATCTCTTAGCGTTTTCCGTCGCATCACTAGAGATCTCCACGAGCATCTAGTTGATACGCAGGGATCAATAGGAAATCTCGAGCAAACCCTTATCCAAACTCTAGATGATCCTAAGAGGTCTCCACAGAATGCGTGCGTGACCTCCAGGAATCTACAGTAAATCGCCTGAGAAACTCTTGAAGGTGCCTCTTGATCGTCTGATGATACCTTAAAGGTCTTGCAGGATCTGCTGGAAATCTTCGTAGAGCCTCTTTGAGATTCATAGTTGAAAATTCGAATATTCTACTTATAAAATTGAATAGTAGTAACAACTCTTCAAGTTCTACATGTACGAATGCCTAATTGAGTTTCCGAGTATGAAAACTTTTAAGCCGAAATTTGAAGAAATGGCATAAACCCCGTCTACCAATTGCTTAAGAAAATCTATAAAAGCATAATTTTATTGGTCTTAATCACATCTATGATAATGTGCTCTATGGTTCTCTTATATTAAATCTCATTGTTCGAATTAGTTATAATGTAATGACATATGTTTCCTAGAGCTTTGGTTTTAATAGTCTTAATCTATATATGTGTGTTATTTTCAATAGCAAGTGTTTCTTTTTATAGACATATCATTCATCATCTGCTCCACTCGAATATGAACAATCATCAACGGATATTTGGCAAGCAATATGTTATTGTGTTCGAAAATGTCTCGAACTTGGATCATTTACATCGGAACAAATAGGACTTATTCGTTCGATTGGTTTTGATGCTACATGTTCTCTTGTTGTTCTTGATGAGAAATATGAACCTGTTAGTGTTTCTCTTTCGGGTAATGATGAACAAAATATAATTATGTGGCTTGACCATCGAGCACATGCTGAAGCAGCTATAATAAATTCAAGTTCGGATGATGTTTTAAAAAATTTTGGTGGTAAAATTAGTCTTGAGATGCAACCAGGAAAATTAATGTGGCTGAAACGTAATTTAGCTAAAGAACAATGGAAACGTGCCCGACATTTTTTTGATTTACCGGATTATTTACATTTTCGTGCAACAGAACAATTAGATCGATCACTTTGTTCATCCGTATGTAAATTATGTTATCGTTCATCGGAAACACAACATGGATGGGATGCAAAATTTTGGACTAAATTTGATTTAGACGATTTAATGGAAAATAATGGTGAAAAATTAGGTCAACTTGTTCGTAAACCATTTTCAAACTCGGATATTGATGTTTTAAGTAAAAAAGCGGCAGATGAACTTGGTTTATCAGAAGGTATTCATGTTGGTTCACCATTAATTGATGCATATGCTGGAGCATTAGGTGGATTAGCATGTAAATCTCCAATAGCCGATGCTCGTCTCACTGAACGATTAGTTATTGTTGCAGGGTATAAAAACAAAAAAGAAACATACGTGCATGTTCATCATTCTCATTTATTTTTATTTCTAGTACATCAAGTTGTTTTATGGCATGTAGTGAAAAAGCTGTTTTTGTTCCTGGAGTATGGGGCCCACATTATAATGTTCTTATTCCTAATCTATGGCTTAGTGAAGGAGGTCAATCAGCAGCTGGAAAATCTATTGATCATATAATACAAATACATCCAGCTTATAATGAATTAAAACAATTAGCAGATGAACAAAATAGAAATATATTTGATATACTTAATGAAATCTTAAATAATTTACAAAAAAAACATAATCTTAGTAATGTATCCTTATTAAGTAGAGATTTACATATGACCATTGATTTTCATGGTAATCGTTCGCCATTAGCTGATCCAGAATTAGGTGCTTCAATAACTGGTCTTCGTTTTGATACATCATTAAATAATTTAGCAATACAATATTTAGCTGTATTACAAGCTGTAGCTTATGATAGTCGACATATAATTGAAGTAATGACTAAATCTGGTCATCATTTTCGTGTTGTACAAATTTGTGGTGGTTTAGCACGATTACCATTATTAACACAAATTATTGCTGATGTTGTTCAAATGCCTGTTTATGTTTCTGAAGCAACTAATGATTGTGTTCTATTAGGTGCAGCAATATGTGGTCAATTAATAGCTGATAATGCACATCAAGTAGAAGATTTACTTAATAAGATAGCATGTCCAATTCAAACATATATGCCGGATTCTAAAATAGCTGATTTTCATAAAGATAAATATGAAATTTATCGTGTATTACAGCAAACAGAAATTGATAGTCGTCAACGCATGAGTAAATATGGTCAATCATAAAAAGAAAAACAAACAATTGTGGCAATCCTTTTTCATATTGATTTTATGATCTATTTTTTATGCAATTATACTGATGATTTAATTTTCTTTTATAAAAGATAATTTTAGATTTCTGATCGTAGTTGATAGAAATAAGATTTTCTTTGTGATTTTAGATTAAAAAATTTATTATGAATAAACACGAAATTGAAAGAGTATGTAGATTAGATGTTAAAACCAACTGTGAATTACTAGATGCTTTTTTAGCTTTTTCATGAATGTGATAGAAAAAGAAAAGGATATCTTGATCGAGAAGATATTAAAGTAGCATCTATACGACTTTATGGAATTAAACTAGATAAAGTAAGATTGAGACATGTGACATATAATAATTATAAAAGCTTTTCTTTGTTTTTTTTTTTTTAGTATAAAATTGAACGATTAATATCGAGTATTCCGAATCGAACTCATCGAGGTAAGAAAATTTTATGAAGTAGAAAAAAAGAAATTATTTATTGATTATTTAAGGTTTAACATTGGATCAATTTATTGATTTTGTACATAGTTATGATCATCAAATTGATCGTGAAGATCAAAATCGTGAAACATTTCTTATTCTTGATCGAACATGTAAAAAACTTTATTTTTTTGTTATTTTTTAAAGAAAAAAAAAAGAACTCATTTCTCATTTAGGTAAAGGTTTTTTAACTAAAGATGATTTTATTCGTGCATTTGAACGTATTAATGTTAAATTAAAAACAGAAACAATTGATTCTGCTTTTAAGTATGTTCTATTCAATATTTTATCATCTATTTTAATTCATAAAATATATTTTTATTTCAATTCTAGACAACTCGATGTCGACGGTGATGGTCGTGTTAGTTATCGAGACTTTGATTTTATGATGAATTATATAGCTGATGAATGATTTTTGTAATAATATAGAATAGAATGTAACAAACTGCTTGTTTTTTTTTCAAGCAGTCTAAATGTGTAGTTTAATATAGAAAAAAAAAATAATCTTAAAGGTTATCATTGATTTGTATGAATGATTTATTATAGTCGTAAGACAATGAAAAACATATTATTGTTGATGTCATGATTTTGTTTTGCTTCACTGATTTCAAATAGGTAAATGATCACTGATATTTATGCATTTGAAAGTATCACGTCATGAAAATTGTTTCGTTTTCTTTTCAGTTTCTTTCACATTTCAGTGAATTGATGATTTGTATAATTATCAAAAAAAAACTTTCTTCATGATTTTCAAGACTTTTAATGGTTCGAAAAATGAAGTGCATAGTTTATGTAATATTTCGTATACAACTAATGATCATATTTAAGGTGTTACATTTTTGTCATGTATTACTGAATGTCACTAATGTTGTATGTACAGACAAGGCTTAGCTCGTTATCAAGGCGCTTTTAGAATATTTACGTTTATAGATGTCAAACTACGAGAAATATCTACTAATCGATGATTAGATTAATTTTTATGTTCGAATATGTTGTAATAACCAGTGTTTTTCAATCAATACATCAAGTGTTTCATTTATTTCTTTGGTAATTTTATCCATCAGTACATGAGAAAGAAATAAAACCATATTTAATGAAAAATGGAGATATTTTATTAGTTGATAAAAATAATCAAGAATTAACCTTTTATATGGACAGTTCGCATTAAGGTTTCTAAATCAAAGTACTTATTGTAATTTTTCTTGAATTTTATCTGTAATTACATCAATTCATTAGGTTGATCATGTGAGAAATATTAAAGTTATCGTTTGAAATCATCATTTATCTGGAACTCAATCATTCTCGATCATAATTGATATTTTTATAGTCCGACCAACTGTCCTAACAAATGTAGTAAAATATATTTCAATCGAATTCAAATTGTCTCGTCCCATACTAGAGTTCTTTATTCAACAGCATGGACTAGTTAGTTTTCCTTTCACAATTGATT